GAACCGGTGGAGCGGCCGGGGCGACTACAAGCTTAGGGGTAAGCAGCCGGGCCAAAAGGTGGGGGCGCACCGGCCGACCCAAGCCCCGGAGGGGGCGTGGGGAAGCCGGAAATCAAATCGGACAGCCCTTACATACATACATATTAGCAGAGTTGGGGGGGGGGTCAAACGCTCTCGTACTGTAATCTGTTATAATATTTTTCTTCCGGACAGAGGAAAAAATTATAACAGATTAGCAGTACGACGTTTGTCCTTTGGGACCTCTTTGCGAATATGTATGTAGTAAGGCCATACCCAAAAAGATAGTAAAATATTATAATTGACTTTCAGAAGAAAAATATAACAGATTAGCAATAGGACCTTTTCCCCTTTCGGGAATGTTGCGAATATGTATGTAGTAAGGCCATACCCGAAAAGATAGTAAAATATTATAATTGACTTTCAGAAGAAAAATATAACAGATTAGCAGTATGACCTTTTCCCCTTTCGGGAATGTTGCGAATATGTATGTAGTAAGGCCATACCATAGATTATTTCATTTCATATTATATGCGACTTTTCAGAAGAAAATATAACAGATAACAGTACAGGTTGTTTCCTTTTGGGACTTTTAAGTAAATGTATGTATGTTACCCACTTAGGAACAAAAGGCAAAATATCGGCTTTTGTTCCTAAGTGAGTGCCCGGGTGGTCCCAGTCAATCACACACTGGTACGTACCGTGAGTCCGGAGAGCTTTCGACCGGGTTGGACCCCTCCACTAGTGACCTGCAACCTTTCTGGGCCGGGGGGCTGACGTGGCGCCCTCCCAGTGGCCAAAGATTAATGCCGAACTTCATTTGCCTTGCTGATCCGATCTGTAGCGCCTACGCTTTCTTAATATTTGGGGCAACTTATCTGCTGACAAGAGCCGTGTTCCTAGCCAGGTCCTGGCTGTCCGTCCACAATGGCACCCCACATCTGGCTTAAGTCAGATGATATCAAGCCTTGCCAGTTTACAGTAAAAGATGGCAAGCTAAATTTAAAACACATATGCACCGTCTTTCAGCTAGACGTGAGCAAGCCGTTGCGCTTGGGCGACTGGTGGCCAGAAGTCACAGCGGATGGTTGGGCAGAGTATGATGAGGATTGTGCAGTGGGGAAGACGAAGAACACAGCCTCCCCTATAGAGGGAACCTCAAGTGAGTCAGCTACACCTTTGATCGTATTTCGGGTTTAATGATTTGAGGCCGTTCTTCATGTAGCCTGCTGAAACTATCATGAGGATTGTCAAGGCTTGCGCATTCCGCGGGAAGAAATGATGTACTTCGATTTGTATGCTCCTCCCCGGGCTCGAACAGACGAGCAGCTGCAGCAGAGAGAGGATAGGATTAGGAAAGTGAAAGTGAAAGTGACCTGTACCTGGACGTTGCCCGCGTGTTTTGTTGCACTGACCTCGGGGAAGGCCTTATTAGAACTTGCTGGAATCGACTAACTGCGTTAGGATGGTCGATTCAGGTGACAATTGCAAGCAAGCCGCACCGCAAGTATCATCACCTCAAGGAAGTTTTATGTAGGTGTGCAGGATTTCAGATGGATCATTCAACTGATAGCAGTGTCGCTTTACCTCGGTCTGTGTGAAGTAGATGCTCCTCTGGAAAATTTAACCTCTTTCATTGGCAAGCCTCAACTCTTTACGTACTCCAGCAACATGTCTTCTTGCATGTGCAGCTGCCAAACACTTGTCCTCCTCATTGTTTGCAGCTCGCCCCGCTCCCATTCCCATTGTGAAGTTCAGCATCAAGAGGACGGGGGGCAAGCCCTTCGAGTTTTCAATGAGAGCCCCAGTCGAGTGGCCTGCTTTCGAGCAGCGCTTTCGGACTGAATCTGGCTGGGAGGTGGGGCTTTTCAAATTAAGTGCAGAGACGGGACTGGAAGTCACAGAGGACATGTGGGCTACGCATCTGCGATTGGAAAGTGATGGAAAGGCGGTCGCTGAGGTGAAGCTGGTGGCGGAAAAGCTTGACAAGGGGTTCTCAAGCTTCTCGCGCACCGATGGGCTGTCCTACCTGGAACTACCAAAGAATTATGTGAGTATATTAAACCGCATGAGCTGCCAAACACCCATTCCCAATTGTTGTCTGCATCAATGGTAAGCGATGGGTGCCAAAACGGGCCTGTCTGGATAGCTTGAGACGTTCTTTTACCAAGTAGTAGCCTGATGTTGTGTCTGTGTTCCTTATCCCGTTTTTTTGCGTTTGAGGTTGATCTCCAGTTTCTTCTTGCAGGTCATGGTTTTTTGAATGAGCAGACATGATGTCAATTTTTTGGGCTGCTGCCAGCTGCTCTAGCATCTTCAGTGTTTTTGGGTGGCGCTATGGACAGTAAAACGCCCTTGCCAATTCTGCGCAGGTTCCTCTTTCCCTCTCTTTGCTATTCACTTCTCCTTTTTCCTTCTGAAGTTCGATGCTGATTGGGATTGGTCTGTCACGTGGACGAAAGGCAAGGTTCTGTCTCATTCAAAACGCGGATCAGTGGCTTGGCAGCATAAACTGAAGTTTCTTCTCGATTGTAGACTGTCCGGAAGGAGCCCAACGTGTTCCAGCGTGAAGCTTTTGGCAACCTCGCCGACTTGGTCAACCAGCGGCTCAAGGGCTTCGAAAAGTGGACTTTGAAAGAGCTTGTGACGCACTTTGTGAAGGACATCCAGCTCCGCATGCTTGTTTTTAGGTGAGTGTCAGGTTATCAGTGATCGGCTCTCTTTCCACCTCCTTCAATGCGCTCTCTGTTCTTACCATGGGATAAAAGCATGGTTGCAGTTTTGAGTCATCTCCAGAGTCTAACTGTGCTTTGCCTAAAGTGTGTCCCTTTGGTGGCTGTTTCCTTTGGTGCTACTTTCAGTTGGGGGACAAGATGTTTCTACTTGCAACTACGGAGTTGGAGACAGGTCAGCTTGTACCTGGACTGTGGATCTGGGGGCATGCCTAGAGGGGTGTTGTACTCGCGGCACTCAAAGAGCGCACCTTAGAGGTGCTTTTGATCCAAGGAGAGACTTCAGTTGGGAAGGAAACGTGGTCATGAACGCTCCACCTGTAACAGAACAGGCAAGCGTCACTGCATGACTCTACCTTCTCATAAAGAAAATTTAGTTTTCAGTGCACTTGAAGACGATGGCAGCTACAGATACAGTGGCCCAGGACACTCAGGGAGAAGCATGCTTGACCTCTTAAATACACGCTTCTCACTCGATTATTACGCTTTTTGGCTGCGTGCAGTTCTTTCACGATGCAGGGCCTTGAATTAACCCGGAGGGAGCTCATCTCCCCGGTGCTGATCCTGGCCTCGCTTCTGGCAAAGAGCCAGGTAGAGCTGCGGGCGGAGGCGACCGTACAAGGGTCCTTGGGATGCGGGCCCATTGACTACACCGCCCTCATAGAACAGGTCCAGATCCTCCTGACAGAGGCGAAGAAGGCTGAGCTCAAAAAAGCGGAGGGCCAAGTGAGACAAACGAGTTTTGTTCAAGGGCTGCTTCTTAATCCAGACACGGACCTTGAGAGGAAACCTATTTCAGCATGCCAGGTTTCAGAAAGAATTGCTTGCATCTACCTTCAGTGTTGAGCTAGTGCGATCACTTGTTTGCACTATCTGTTGCGTTTGCTCTCCGAAGAAAAGTCGATTCGCACTTCTTGCACATGCAGCTGTACGCGGAGATGGCAGCTTCTCGAGAGGCTCTCGCGAGGGTCATCGACCCGGGCACGAAGAAGCGGAAGTTTGCGGAGCTCGACGAAATCCTCGAAGGGGTAAGACACTTTTGTTCTTGAGCTCTGCACAACTTCAAGCCTCGCCTGCCTTATCTCCGTGGCAAGCCCCACGCCAGCATCTTTGAGCTGAGCGGGCTGAAAAAGCACCCATCTCGTTGATGGAATCATCGAGGCGGTGAAGTTGAATGCAAGGAAAGCTGGCAGGATGCGGGTAAACAGCCACCAGAATCTGCCAGTCTCTTCTGGTATGCTCTGAATGATATTGCAGTTGAGTAGTGCTCTGAACGGAGTCTGTCATGACTCCGAACTCGTATACGCCCACCTCCTTCTGTAGGATAGCTATTTGTTTTTCCCTTCAGAATTCCAAGCTCTTGAATGTCCATCTCCTCATTGCACGTTGTCATAATCTTTTCGGAATACTAATGTCGTGTTGACCTGAGTATGGAAGTTTTATTCTTTCAGATTAGCACGACGGGGGTGCGCACCGACGCGCAAACCTGGGTGCTTTCCCGGTACGTCAACAAGACCCTGGTTGAGTCCGAGGAGATGAACATCGACCTGAAGAGCCCCTCGGACAAGACCCTTCAGGACCAGCTTATGGTCGTTGTAGGGGCCCTTACGGGGGCGATGAACACCCACATCACGGAGTATGAGACAACGATCAAGACTAAGAGGCAACGGAATGTAAGCTGCAGCCTTGAGAACTGTTTTTGTTGAGCAGCAAACCTCTGCCTGATTTTCGGTCTCCCAACCTTAGCTCCTTCAAGTACAGGTTTAAAAGGGTTAGTTAGTCAGGTACCGAAATTGGAGAGCTTGGACCTGTCGGTTGAAGTTGGCGTTCTCTGGTCCGGTGCTCGTTCGTCTTTACGAAAAGTACAATATCCAGATACAGAGACCTTTCGATTGAGTATTCTTATATTTGGCATGTTACGGACACCTGTCAGGGGTCTTTCAAGGGTTACTTTATCTGAACTTTCAGTGGGTTGGTAAAGAAGTTCGGGCAACGGCTGCAGCTATATTGTCAATCCATACGCCTTTGATGAAAGCTGAGCATGCTTGTAGCGGTTTTGCCCCAGCCTTCTTGTTTACCGTCAGTGCCAGTAGTTTGACACCTGACCCCCGGCAAGCCTTTAAAGGTTATACAGGCCAGAGAGAAGCTCGATTGCCGGCTTCTGAGCAATCATGATCTGGCTCAAAAGCAAAGAGTTGCGATATTTTGCAAGCTTGTACTCCCAATTGATGCAGGAGGACAAAGGCACGAGTACGGGTAACTCCTTGGGTACAGAGGCTTAGCACTTTCGAGGTAAGCATCGACAATCTTGAGCAGGATGGTCACGTTTTGGAGAAAAGAGGCCACTTACCTTACATCCACTGGTGTCTACTCAAGGGGTTTCTTGCTGAGTTACAATAAAGTTGCTGCTCTTTCTGCCTATTTCAAACCCCAGTGCAGATTGATGCAAGTCTGCATTTGAGACAACAGATTGTCGCATAAGCAAAAAACCTGCCAGCATATTTAGCAACTTACAGCTCCAGCAATAGCTGCGTCTTCTTCAGACGGCAAGGTGCATCCTTCTATAAAAGTGGCCAGGTCAGCAACTCAAGTCACAATGGTGGTGTGGACAGCAGTAGTGCAATGTTGAAGTGTTGGAATTACCAGTCATGCACCATACAAGTCGCGAAGCCTTGCAAGTGGCAGCTTACCTGAGTCCACAAGTACACTCTGGAATATGCTTGTGCAGCTGCTCACAATGCGCATACTTCTTCAAACCAGGCTGAGAAGAGAGGCCAGCAACTCCGATCAGAATGCACAACGACTACCTTCTCAGGAAAAGCCAGCCCTTCACCACCTTTTGCTGCTCACAAAGCGGCGCCAACAATTCAAACAGGTGCATAGTGATGATTCCAGCTGGGAAGCTGCCGGTTTACAATGAGACTTTTAGATGTGCTGCTTTGCAATACAGACTTGAGTCTGGAGTTCCGCTTGTAGACTTTGGCGGGAAAAGCACCTACTTGGCAGGCATCGGCTTCCATCAGGAAGACACTTGGCATCCACTTGTCTTAGTTCTGAGCGGGCAAACTTGAAAGGTTTAAAATGTGTCACGACCATCACAGGCGATATATGTCGAGCTATTTTGTTGGAGCGTATACCGTAAACAGGAAGACACCACGGACAGGAGAATCGTGCAAGTCTCCCGTCCTAATTTCTGTCCATCCCGGCCAATATGCTATACATTTTTATATCTAATAGAATGTGCATACAGGAAGTCAGCACAGACAGGAGAATCATGTAAATCTCCCGGCCGGGCCCATTGTTTTGACCATCCCAGCCAATATGTCGAGCATTTTATGATTAATTGAGAACGCAGACAGGAAGATATCACAAATAGGAGAATGGTGTCAGTCTCCCGGCCGGGCTCCTTTTCCGACCATTCTGGCCAATATGTCGAGCATGTTATGATTAATGAGCACGCAGACAGGAAGACAGCACATGATCGTTCGAGTCTCTGGTCTCATTTTCTGACCATCCCGGCCAATATGTCGAGCATTTTATAATCAATAGAGCACACAGACAGGAAGGCAGCATAGACAGGAGAATCGTGTTAGTCTCACGGCCGGGCTCAATTTCCGACCAATCCGGCCAATATGTCAAACAAATTTTATTCAATAGAGCGTGCAGACAGGAAGACAATACAGACAGGAGTTAATCGTGTAAGTCCCCTGGCCGGGACCGTTTTTCTGACCGAGCATTTTATATCTAACAGGGTGAACAGGCAAAACAGACAGGACAGACACGAGTTTGTGAAGCCTGACATGTGCGCCCAGTTCTCCCCGCCCATGCCAAACAATATACATCATAATCCCTGAGACCTGAGTGGCCGGGTGGCCCTAAACTAGGCACCTATTACACCCGGGATCGCCGGACAGCCCTGGTGCATGCGTGCATGCATTTTGTGTGTCATTTAGTACAATCTGTTCCTTTTAGGACTTCTGAAAACTATGAATGTACGTAACACACTTAGGAACATGGAGCGAATTTTGAATTCTTGTCCCTATTAGTGCGTTACCAGGTGGCTCTAAAGCACAAAATTTCGTACAGGCGGGACCGAAAACACACCTCGTGCAACTTGCGTGCATATGCATTTTGTGTGAAAAAACTAAGAGTAGATACGGTAACATTCTTTTCCTTTTGGGACTTTTGGTGAATATGTATGTACGTAATCCACACTTAGGAACGAATCGCTGGAAGGTTGCTTCCAATCACCGGTCATCTTGGGATATTGTAATTCCGGCGCACAAATATTTGAGAATATTGTGATCGATGAGAGCATTCTTCTGCATAGTTGTTTACACTTCACCGAACCGGCCCTGCGCGCGTTTGATAGAAATACCGTATGTGTAGGAAAATTATAACAGTGAAATGTACAGTACGATTCTTTCTCTTTTGGGCTTTTTGAAGAATATACATGTACCTTACTTTGTGTGAAACATTTATAACAGTAGGAATAGTATAGATTTGTTCCTTCTGGGACTTTTGAGAACCATGTATGTATAGTGTACGTGATCCACACTTAGGAACATGAAGCGATTTCTGGTGTTTTGTCCCTGTAGTGAGTGCTCGGTTGATCCAAGTCAAGTGCCCAAGGGTACGTACCGGCTTTCGGAATGGCTTTCGACCCCGGTTCGCCCCCCTCTGGCGACCTGCACCGCTTTGGGGCCTGACATGGCGACCTCTGATTGGCCCCATTTTTATGCCGAACTTCATTTGGTTTGCTGGCGAAACGGTCCCGACCGCCGGTCGTGGGAAGGCCCCCGGGCCAGGGGGGACACGTGGCGCCTATCGAGCGGTTGAAAATAAAGGCCGAAGTTCATTTGGTTTGCTGAGCTGGTCGCAGTGAAAGTTGTCTGCGCAATCCTCGCGTTCAAAGCCAACAATGCCAATGGCGGGGGTCCAGCACAGGCCAGGAACTTCGGGCAAATTGGCGGCAGACTTCAGGGGCTGCTGCAGGCAAAAGCAGGTCATCGCATAGGTAGTTCAGCGCATCTGAGGAGGGAGCACAATCCTTGAGCTAGGCCCAGGCGCAAGGGACTAATTTGTTCCATTGGGCAGCTCAATACTGGAAGAACTAAAGTGATGGACCGAGGTGCCATGGTCAATGTGGGCCCTGGCAGCCCCTTGGATCGGCTGTCCGACGATATTTTGCTGCGCATCCTGGCAGAAGGCGCCTGCATCGTGGCTGAAGGCGCCTGGAATGTCGAGGACCACCCTCGGGACAGGGTTTGGGACGGCTTTGGAGACATGAGGAAGCTATGTCAATTGAGGACTGTCTGTCATCGCTTCGATGACTTAGTCATGGGAGTTGAGAACATCGTGTGGAGGCTCAATCCTGCTGCGGTTCTTGCCCCCAGTGCGCACCGGTTCCTTCAGCAGTGCAAGAAGCTGAAGGGACTCCGCTTGATCATGGGACGGAACAGCTTCGCACAGTCAGATGTCTACGCCATCCCTGATAGCTTTTGGCTTGCTATTTCTAGAGTTACTCCAGACCTTGAGGAGTTCGAAATCCTTGGGGGAATGCAGAATCGGCTGAACCTACCTGATGGGCAAATGCACGAGGTTTTCAAGACCATGGCGATGTGCCCTCGACTTGCTTCATTGAAGCTAGAGAGATGTGATGCACAATTGACCCAATCTTTGTCTCCAAGACACAAGCTCAATTCAATCGTTAATCTCCACATCTCAACCATCGATCTGACAGATCTCGGGGTTTCAAGTATCCTTGAGGCATGCCAACAATTAGAGTCCCTCACTTTATCATCAATAACGGGACTCACAACTCCAGTATTGGCTTCAAAGTGTCTGAAGATGTTGGTGATTCAGCAACAAAGACCTCTTATGAACACCCTCAAGATAGTGGCACCGGATTTAAGGTGTCTATCAGCAAGTGGGATGACAATGTTAACAGTTGGTGCACCAAACTTGGAAGAGCTTGTCTTGGGAAATACATGTGCAATTGTCAGGGAGAGCACTTGGAAGGTTACCGGATTGAAAGTAGGGGATGGACCAAGGAACCTGAACCAACTTGTGGAGATTTTCGCCTTGTGCAAGGATGCAAGGAAAGTTACGGTGCTTCATCCATTTCAACCAGATGTAAGCGGAGATCTGGTGGCCCTATCATGGCTTTTGCAGCATCTAGAGCACCTGGAGTATCTAGAGATCCCATCAGATTTAGCGATGCGCATTAACATAGACACAGGAGGTGCAGTCCCCATGTCCTTATCTCTACCCAAACTCAAAAAGTTGAAAGTATCCTTCGAGAAACTCCGCCGGCAATTCGAGCTTTGTCTGGAGCTGTGTAGGATTGCTCCTCAATTAGTGGATCTGTGTATTGATCTTACAAATCTACTTGGAAGAAACAGAGCAGATTCTGTGGTAATGCGCCTCTTAGAGCTCCAAAGACAATACCCACTGATCAAGCTGTTGGTCAATTGGCCAACAGTATTGCAATAGGACAAGCAAAAAAGGTGAGTGGCACTGCATTTCAGCCTTATGTCATCCAAATTAGTCACTTGTTTCGTAATTATCATTCGTCCCCCATCAGCCCGTGGCGATTAAGCCATGGGCCGTCAGGTTAATTGTGGACACTGTCTACGGTTCGACTAGATACAATCATCAAGTTAAGCCAATCTGATGGTAATTCCCACTTCAATAACGCCTGATGAATCCAGCCTACGTCCATCATTGCATGCCCGTAGTCAACTTGGCTCGCTCACATGTATTTGGATGTATAATGTTTAAGTTATTACTTTTCATTAGCTTGGGTTGCAAAATCTAGCTCTCAAAATCTTAGTATTCCTCATGCCGCGCGCGCCACCGCGCATTGACATCTGTTTACCCATGGTTGTTATTGGCTGGCAATGGTAACGTGAGTTCTCATGGCATTTTCCATGATCTGCACAAATATTTATATCGCAGTTTGGTTCATGCGCTTAACATGAAAAACGAAGTACGACATAGGTACATGTACAAGTCTACAAGGCTACGCGTACATTGCATCATTGCGCTGAAGATCATACTCAATAATGTTTTTTCGATGCACTGAATGCATATATACTCAAGTGTCATTGTAAGCAGCTCTTCAATTAATTTGAGCAACATGCAACTCGTTCTTTTTGTGCAGCCACCATGACTTATGCATCTGGGCCGTCATGATATGCGCTTTTCTTCTCCATGCATGCATGCGCCGGGGATCTTTTCCGTAGTCGAATGCATCCGTGCATGATGCCGGGCCCCTAGATTGCATCTGAACAAGCATGTTGCAACGATCGTATATATACAGGCCGGCACATTGCAGGCGTGCACTCTGGCAAACAGCCTGCGCTTGCAATGATCACAGTGCCCCTGTTTCTGTGACTCAATTGGAAACCGGCAATAGAGGGTCCCGGAGGCTATAGCAACTGTGGCATCGGACAACCGTTTCATCCGCGCGGGTATATGACTTACATGCACCAGCTAGGATGCGCATGTAAATTCTATTAACTATTAACTATTAACTATTGCAACTACCCCACATGTATCATTTTTATCAATTCAATGCCCTTTGTTATATGCCACCTTACTTATATGGTACGCTTATATGGTACGTGGGCCCCATTTGCATAATTAATCTGGATCACTGCACTGATACATGATGCATGCACTGATGCATGCATATCACATACGTGCACGGACATGTTCAAGCTACTTCTGCTTGCACCAGTCCATTGTCTGATCGAGTTAAGAAATGATGCTGTTTGACACTAAGGCACGACACAATGCCTCAATTTCGATGAATAACTAAAGTATGAATGAGCAATCATACAGTGTGCGAGTCACTTAAAACACCTTCGTCGACAAGTTGGCAAAGCCTCAACAAAACACTTGTACCCTTGCTGAGTTCAGAATCTCCATGATCGGCTGACTTGTAAGCTTGCTCATGATTATAGCAAATCCCAAGATTACTGCCAAAGTCAGCTCAGAACAATAACCTAGGACCTACACCTACTGTCCAGTTAAATAACGTTTTGTTTCCTCCAAGATTCTCCGTATACTACTCTTATCAAGATTAATGTCTTGTTTCAAGAAAACCTCGGACCCTTCCTCCCATCCTTTCGCCCAGACCGAAGTAGGGTCGGTAAAGGCCGCGTGACTGCCGTCGTACTTCCGCACCAGACTACTCTCCTCCTTAGACACGTTATAAGCGATGTAATGCATGCCGTTTTGACGAGCGCACTCGCCAAAGTCGCTCTCGCTCACCCATTCTGCCCCAATCGGCACCAACTGCACGAAAGCACATATCACGGTGTTCGTATTCCTGCGAAACTTGCTTCGATTTCCCTCTCTGCAATCTGAAAGGAAGATCTTGTTGGTCTTGTCTGTTAGAATTTCCGCTTGAATAATCTCCCCCGAGCGCGAACCGTGCTGGTCACTGTATCCTTGCACCTTGCAGCACCTCCGCCTTTCTGTGGCACTTTGGTTTCCCAGGTATAAGCGAAACATTCCTCGTGTTTTTCAATACCAGCGCGGATCTCAGTCCTCGCTTTCAACTTACACACAGAGAACGAAGGACACCTTGGAAATTCCAAGTTTTGAAGATGCCGAAAGCCAGGACTGATCTCACGAGAGCAGATCGAAGGTGATTGGGACGAGACATGAAGACTTCCTGTTAGGAAGTCCAATCTGTAAAAAACGGCACCGAAGAATCTGAGGCAGAATCAATCGTAGAGGACAACGACAGGGAGAAGAACAAAAGACGAGGAGGAAAGGATGGACATAACCGGAAACTTCAGATGAAAACGGAAGGATGGAGGCAGGCGAATGGACGGAGACTGATGGAGACAAGGCGAAGAAGGGACCAAGGCTTCTCAAGAGACGGAAACGGAGATTGCATGAATAAGACCAAGTTGCAGGCGGAATCGGGAAGAACACGAGCGTGACGAAAAGGAGAAAGTCGAATGCGAGACAGGCGAACACAGGACCAAAGGTTCCGGATCAAACGACAAGCCGATCCAAAAGCAGTCGTCCCAAAACTCTTACCTGTATCAGCACGGTGCCCTTGCGCATCATGGTCATCTGACTCAGCCCCGCGCCGTGCACACCGAGCAGCGCGTCTAGTTCCTGCGTCGCCGCCATGGCCTTTGCGTTGTCCAAATTTTCTAGCAGACTCTCCGAGAGCAGCCGCAGCTCGAAGCCCATCTTGGACGCCTCCTCGATCACCTCCGCCTCGTTCAGCAGCCGCCGCGTCTTCTCGCGGTGCAGGATGCCCAGAACTAGGCTGCCCCCGGGGCCCGGAACTCTGCACGAAGAGTCTCACGAGATTAAGCGCATGCGCCCAGGGGACCGCGGCCTGATGCGTTGATGCGTCAGGAAAATGCAGTTGTTTTGCGGGACAGGATGCCCAGAACTCGGCTGCCCCCAGGGCCCGGAACTCTGCATGAAGAGTAGTCAAATCTTGATTTGTATGGACGGATAGCCAGATCCTGAGTTGAGAAGTGTCTCAAGCGAAGTTGACAGACCTTTCCGGACTTTTCGCGATGCAGGATAGGCCAGCACCAGGCTGCCCTTGGGCCCGGTACCCTGCACGAAATATTACGATGCCAAGTCTGTCTGCGTTTGGTGCTGAGGATCAGCGGAGTAAAGCCTGATATGTTGATGCGCTCAAGCGCAGATACTTTGGGGTGTAGGATGCCCAGAAGTAGGCTGCCCCCGGGGCCCTGTACCCTGCGTGGCCAGAGATTGATTTTAAACCAGTTCTCGGATAACCATTGGAAGAGCCTCAAGGCAGACTTGTCGCGGTGCAGGGTGTCCAGTACCAGGCTGCTCCCGGAATTCCGGAACCCTGCCTGGACGAGAGGGCACGAACTAGATTCGGAGGTGTTAAAGTGGAGAGTGAGAGCCCATCATTACGGACTTCTAGTGGTGCAGGATGCCCAGCACTAGGCTGCCCCCGGGGCCCGGAACCCTGCACGAAACATTTCAGAAGTTAGGCGCATGCGATCTGCCTTCGTTCTTCATAGCAAACCGATGCGTTGGTGGGTTGAAGAGCAGCTTTTGCGGGGCAGGATGCTCAGCACCAAGCTGCCCCCGGGGCCCGGAATCCTGCATGGACGAAAGGTCAGGTTTCGACCTATGTAAGTTAACGTTGACTGAATATAAAAAAGCCCTTTCTGCGGACTCGCATTCAAAGAGGTCTGAGAATATATCGGAAGGACTTGAACGACCTTCTGCGGTGCAGGATGCCCAAGCACCGGGCTGCCTCCCGGGCCTGGGACCCTACAGGAGAAGTTGAGAGCGGGCGGTCCCTGTTTGATCTAAAAAACACAGCGAACGGGGCGAGAGTGATGCCCGATCATTTGATGCGCAGAAGAGCAAAGTTCGAGGTGCAGAGTGCATATCCCCAGGCTGCCACCCTAGGTCAGCACCGAAATTAGGGAGCCGGCATGAATAGACTCTCGATGCTTAGCTAGAAGTTTGGAGCGGAACGGTTTTGAGCGGGATCCAAGATCGACACTTCTTCTAAGGCTGAGGACCCAGCAGAAGCAGGTCAGCGTCTGCTCCTAAAGAACAGATACTTCTAGTCATGTCATGCCCGGCCGCTGGACACATTTAAGTCGATCGCCGATAAAAAACCTGGACATCTGGCCATCTAAAGGCTTTGGTTCCGCAACTGGGCCAGGCTATTCCCTGGCGAAGTGGGAGGTTTTGCAGCATGCGCACTGCAACTGCACCAACTTCTGTCTCTGAGGACGAATCTTACCAGCAAAATTAGCAGACAATTTTGACCTTCCCTCCCGCTCCTTCCTCTTTACGAACATCCTTCCCTTGTCCTTCAGAATGCCGGTTCTCACTCCCGTCTCTCACCTCGGTTCCGGCACCGGCAGCCCGTACGCCCGCGCCGCCAGCTGTACGAACGCGTGGTTGTCCGCGCCGTCCGGCATCTGCTCCGGGTCCACGCACAGGTTCGGCCGGTGCAGCTTCAACCCCACCGTGACGTCACTGAAGCAGTGCACCTCCGGTTCCCGGTTCTCGTCCACTTCCTCCGAGCCCTTGTTCTCCGTCAGCCCGATCGGCAGGACGGGGTACTTCGAGAGCTCGCTCACGATCCGCCCGTACTTCAATTCCCACCACCCTAGATAGTCCAGGACCCCGAACACGACCTCGCCCTTATAATGCTGCGTGCTTATAAATAGGGGGACGAGCCCGTCGCAGAACGTGTGGTAGCCGTTGCCGTTGTACCCCCCCACGGAGAAGACGACCGCCGGCGCCGCGTGGCGGTGCGTGCACTCCAGGGCGGTAACGTTGCTCGCGAAAGTGCTGGTGAGCGTTACGGGCGCGACCATGGAATTCATCGCGGTCTGGCGCGCGAGCGCGTGGATGTGCTCTTGCACTTTGTCGCGCGCCATCGTTACGGGGCCGGTGTAGTAGTCGCTGCTCTGCTTCAGGGGGTGGGGCTTGATGACCACGGAACCACGCACAGTGGAGGGCTGTAGGTAACGAATTGTGGAGGTTAGCATCAAATTGCTTTTATGGTCTGCGGTTGAGATTGTTGCCGCTCTGCTTCAAAGGGTGGGGCTTATTGACCACGGAACCACGCACGGTGGAGGGCTGCAGGGGGGGGAAGAGGAGACGGGAGCAAGCATTTATCCGCCTTGAAAAACTTTCTTGCGTCTTCAAAGGTTGGCGCTTTGCTTTTCGAGGTAAAGCTTGATGACCAGGAAACAAAGCACGGTTCAGTGCTAAAAGTCGGAGGAATCGAGGGTCAGCTCGAATCTATGGCCCTCGATCGGTGGCAAGGAACACACCATGCTTCTGACGTTGACCAAGTTGCAGCTCTACGTCAGTGGATTCGTCCTGATTGAGACATAGCAAGGCATGATGGTTGGCTGCAAAGGGCGTTAGAAGATCTGCGAGGGCGGGGATCCTCGTGCGTACAAAGAGTCTCGTTACGATCAGTCACAAGTCCCGTGGAATAGTGTCAGGTCCCTGCGCCGCGCTGTTTCGACGAGAAAATAACAGTAAAGTGGGCAAGCCTTCTTTTCCAATTTCAACGGGGAAACGGCAAGCCGTCATTTTCTATACGTTCGACTTCTTGAAATTTGATGCTCGACGAGCCATACGAGCACGAAGCGAAGGACGAGCGATGACAAAGGCGTTTTGAGGGGTCAGAGTCGATTACGGGGCAAAAGCATACCTGCGTTGCCACCAACACGATCTTCCGGTTGACCACATCAATGCGCACGTCCCCAATCATGCGGCAGACGTCCGACCTTTCGTCGGACATGTCGCACAGGAACGCCTCCGGTGGCGTCCTATTGATGCTGCGGTCCGTTATTTGCCAGCTCGAGATGACGGTGCGCATGGTGCCTGGACCCGTGCCCATTACTCCCCCTGGAAAAGCAAAGTAAGCTTTCGTTACTGCTCGTTGAGTGCGTTTCTGATTGAGTCTGCACTCTGCTTGCTCGACATCACTGCTTCCGCGCGGTTTGGATCCGTATGCATCACTTCGCCTGCAAGGCAGAAGCAGTTGGGGTGAACACCTTTCAAGCGATGGAAAGAGGAAACAGTAAGTTTGTCACGGAACTTCAGGGACCCAGAGGGGAAGTTGAAAGTGATCAGCATATAGCGGAACCGCAGGGACCCAGAAGGGAAGTTGAAAGTTATCAGCGTATAGCGGAGGGTATCATAAAGTCATAGGTTCGCCTCAGAACTGGAACAGCTTGTGGTCATTCAGGACGCCGCCACTGGGCCATACTCGAGTACAGCAGCAATGAAGCGTACGCCATTGAACAACAGTTCAAGAAATACATCGTAATCACCTCCGCCCACGACACTCTAATCCCTGATGTAAGAATCTCTGACGAATCTCATTTGGCGTTTGTCTCGGTATCAGAAATGAAAGGCTCCTGACCCGCAGAACGTTGACAGCAGCAGCCAAAAGAAAGAAAACATTTGAGGCTAGAATTGCGACACTGAGCACAGCGATGCACCTTGTGGCCACTTTTAAGGTCCCGGATCACATATGGCTGGGGAAATGGGCCTCTACGTCATACTGACTGATCATTAGCGAACCTTCTTTTTCCACAGAACGTGGACAACCCGACCACAGAGTACAAAGGGGTCTTGAGAAGGCCCCAGTAATGCAGGTTCTTCAGACTTCGAACTCGACATTGACTTGTCCCTTCTTCCATACGACATGGCAAAGCCGCAGCTTGAAAGCCTATTACCACCTTCACTGAAAAGCGAGACCTCTCCTGCATCTAACCGACTTTCAGACAGCGCTCCCTCAGCATCGGGCAACGAGCCCTTTCTTTCAGCTTTCGAAGCTTCTAATTCTGGCCTTGTAATGCCACCCGCCAAAATAGCGCACGCTATTTCTTATTGTATTCCCCGTAACGGAAAGAAACAAGGAAGAAACTCTCTGACCGCCTGCCAGAGCTCAATACAAGACGGCAAGGTCGCAGCTTAGAGACCATCACCAGCTCAACCGGAAAGCAGAACTCTTTCTGAATCTGGCTTCCTTAGATTCCTTTGCCCTTCCAAAGCTGCAACTCCAGTCACTCATCAAAACAGCTCACAGGTCTTTGTCTTTCAGCCCCCTAAAGGAAGGAAAGAAGGGGCCTTTCATTGCAAGAAAAATCAGACCTCTTGATATCAAAATAGACACCGCTCACCCCATCCTGTGGCCGCCTGCCAGAGCTCCCATATGAGCACCCCAAAGATGACCCCCACCAGAAACGCCGTCCGCACCGGGAGGCTCAGAAATTTCCGGTCATGCCCAGCGGTGGGGGTTCGCACCGGGGACGGGGTCATAATGATGGTGTCAAAGTCCACGCGCCTGCCAGAGGGACACAACACTTTGACCCCGTGCTTTGGTCTGCCATGTTGAGGAATAGGGCGAGGGGAGTTGTGTTGGAATTGGAAAAAGCTAAAGCAGGGACTTGCAATGTCGGCATCCTTGCGCAGGGAGCTGAAAAATGGGCCATGACTAACCCAAAATGGTTTAGCGGTTCGCTGCCCTGTTGCTGAAGGAGGACGGCTGCTGCTGAACGTTGTTTAACGAGACCAGTTAAGGGCAGAGGTCTTCGTATAACCAGGACACTGTGATATGCTCCGAAGGCTCTGATGAAGGGGCGCTGTGCTTGATGAACCTCAACATGGAAGTTGAAGGGTGCTAAAAGTTCAAGTGCTGCAAAAGGCTCGTGCTTCGTTTGAATGCGTGACCCCAGTGTCTGTCAATATCAGCAGATGGCTTAGCCTTTACATCAGTTCTTGATGTACTTATTTTTCGTCTCTGTTTTGGGCAGCTCTCATTTTGCCAAATTGCAATGGTCTCAGCAGCTATGACAGCTGGTATGTGGACACTTTGTTAGTTGCCAAATCTAACTCAGACTATCGTGGCTGACGCTTGAACCATGAGGAGGCAATCAACAAAACCTCTATCCCCTTCTTGCTAGGCTACATAATGAGGGTCGCTTGCAGTCCACTCTGGCTTCTTCCTCTTCATCTCAACCTTTTGACTGGACGGCATGTGCAACATAGACTGTAAGGCACAAGCACCGCAAATGTTTTGAAAATTAAGAATACTAAAGGGCACCACTTTTACAGTTGAAAGCAGGACACAAGAGCAGAAGCAACTTCTTAGTTGCCCTCACCATCCAGCAGTTCACAACAACACCCAACATCCCTCCACCACACCGCTCCTTTCGCAGCAGAAGAAGTCCTGCAGAAGTTTGGCTCGATTTTTTTGAAGATCAGCAAGAGGGCTCACCTAACACTGCTATCGCCACCACATTTCCTTGGCGTTGGCATGAGCAGGTACTACAAAGACATGTCAGTGACTTACAAGCTGAAGATGTAAGTGGAGGGCGAAATGACGAGGGGCAGTGTAACACGAGAAGGGTGCAATGCACTCTACACAACTTCGGCGCTACCCTTGATGCACCAACGCGCAAAAGGTGGTCGGCGCAGATTTACAGATGCTGCTTGGGCATGATGCCGTCCCCAGATCCAGTGGATGGCAAAGCCGTAAAGGTTCCTCAGAGAGATGGCTACCAAAAATGTTGTAATCACAACGTGTGCGTCCCAAGTTCAACCTTGTTGATGACGCCAAAATGGAGCGAAGGGGCATGCTCCCATAAAAACAGGAGCTCTGATCGCTGCCTCTGCAGACCATGCATGCAACTTGCAAGGCTACGGTAGGCAGGTTCAAACTTTCAGTGTTTTCGTCAAACCTGGCCTCCTTAACCAGGTTCTTTCTGTGTCGAGTACATGATCTGAGCCGTCGGATAGCTATGTTTAAAGAAGCGAACGGTCATACGACGGATTGTTGAAATGATTATTTGGTCAAGCGGCCACCTAGTTTTCAATTTCTACATACCGTAAACGCAAAACCTACAGGCTACAATCTTGGCCCTTGGGTGATCACTGTTCCGATCGACCCTCCAGATCACCCGGGGAGTCCCTGGTAGAAGGCAAGGGGCGGGGACAGGCACAACAATTTGGGCTGCGACTAGGTGACCAGATGCGGCAAAGACCGGGGCACAAGTCCGGGAGAAGGTAGGAGAAGGGGTCCATTCACCGACCACTTCAAGCCGACCCACTAAATCAGCTACCCCCTTGCTCCTAATTTCGCGGAAGCATGCTTCCCCTGCCTTGCCCATTGGCATTGGCATTGGGAAGGTAGCCGTGGGTTTCCTTCTTTTCCCAGCTCTGGTCATCTTCGCCCGTTCAAGGAACCCTGGCTTCCTAGATGCAGCAGCACTGTGAGGACGTAGGGTCGCCTAGGTCTGGGTATCAACTTTGAATGTTGATCAAGTAATCAGTGAAACCGGAATGGTTGGCGGAAGTCCGCTGGCGAAGCTAGCGTATGTTGAACAAAATTAGGTTGAAGCAGCACAAGGAGAGGCGTAGAAACACAGCGAGTAGGAGATAGCTTAGTGAAAATGGCGGGGAAGGAAGAGGACCTGTATCTGGTGCTTGGCTTGGAAAAGGGATTGGAGAGCACAGAGGCAGAAGTGAAGAAAGCTTACAGAAAAAAGGCGTTGGAGTCTCACCCAGACAAGAGGCCGGACGACAAGAATGCTGCGGCAGAGTTTGATCGCATCCAGAAAGCTTATGAAGTCCTGGGAGACGAAAAGGCTAGGAAAGCTTATGATGACCTCAGAAAAGTGCAAAGGGCCAGGGCCGATAGGGATGCTGCGAAGGGGGTGAAGCGGCAGAAGATGATGGACGATCTGAAAAAGCGGGAGGATGCATATGTGCATGAGAGGAGTGCTGAGGAGATGGCCAGGATGAAGCTCAAGGCAGAGGTGAGGGGATTGTGCGCTCTGACCGGGTTACATGCTGTTGTTGAGTTTCTCGAAGAATCATTGCACTTGCAAAGCATTGGAGGTGGGGCAAATCTGGCTTCACTTGTATCTTGATCACATCTCCTTGCTTGGTGTTGGAGCGAAACCGGAAGGGTGTTCGCAACTTTAGATTACTTGAGGCGAATCTAGGTAGTGGTGGTTCTCAGAGGGCACGTCTTCATAGGTTGCGGAAGGGCTTCGAAAACTGAGCGGTTCCAGTAAAGTTTTTGGTTCCAAGTAGTGGTGCTTATCTACAAATCGGGTCTTCTGAGAGAACTTGGTGGTGGCCAAATTGGCAGGTGCGGGCAGTATGCTTTCCTGTCAATCTGCTTCTATCGAAGTTCATGCAGTGTACTCTTGGGGAAGTCTGTCCTTTCCTTTTTCTTTCCCTTGATCTTTAAACATGTAAGTCAACCACCGAATGAGTTTCATCTTGGGCCTCCGTATTTGATGCTTCCAAGGGCAATTTGCCATCTGGCACCTCATGCTAAGCCTGCGAATCTGCTCTGCCCCCCTGCAGATCGCCCGGGTACGCCAGGAAAACATTGCCCGCCAGAAGCGCCAGCAAGAAGAGCTAGCCGCAGCTCAGGAGGCAGCCCGTCGCGCATCTGGGGGGGTCACATCCACCCCCGGATCCACCCCTGGGGCCGAAAGCACCATTCTGCAAGGTGCCACTCTCGCACGGACCCTCAAAGTCACATGGGACCGTTCGCGCGAGGGGGCCCTTGAAGACTACGGGGCGGAGAAACTCAGAAAGGTGTTCTTAAAGTTTGGCGCAGTTGAGGACATCATCGTAAAGGAGGAGGTGAAAAAGAAGAAGAAGGGTAGCGCGCTGGTGGTTATGGGGGCTGAGGCGGGGGCGGCCGCGGCGATTGGGGCGGTGTGCGGGGATCTGAGCAACCCGCTTTTAGTTAAGCCAGCGGTACCGGGGTTGATTCCCGGCCAGGGGGGTTCAGTGGATGAAGCAAATAAACCCCCTGGGAACAGCACGAATCATGCTGATGGAAGCGCGGCAACTGGGAATGGATTCAAGAGAGCGGATGTAAGTGGAGCACAGACGACCGGTGTGAGTGGGGGCCAGACGAGTGGGGGGAATGGGGCCCAGACGAACGGAGCTGAAACAAATGATAGAAGCGGGGCGCAAGAGGCGGTCGACGACGGGGCTGAAAGTGAGGGCGCAACCCGGCAAGGAGCCGAAGGTGGCATAGGAAACAGCGGAGTTGGGCAGAAACCAGGCATGAGTGGCAGCCAGGTATGTTACGATATACGATAATCTCATACCTCACTCTTCGAAATGCTTCCAATCCGTTTCTTCTCGAGCCATGAATGCGCTTCTCTGGCACGCCAGCGTTTTATACTCTTGATAAGGATAAGGCCAGGTTTTGGCTCGTCAGTTTTGGCTCGATGCTAGGAAGAGCCGTACGGACATAGAGAGCGCTCCCGAGTACTGTGCAGGCCAAGGTTGGCTTTTTTTCTTGATATCTGAAGGTGATTGTCTGGGCCTTGGTAAGTTTGTGCTTTGCAAACGGCGCCAAGCACTGAAGCGGACCCGGATTACAAGAGGATCTCGATTCTGGTTTGCTTGCCTCCCCTCATCCAAAGTTTCTGACTCGGCTTCTCTGATGCAGCGGCCCAACATCTTTGCGAACGGCCCTCCTCGGCCACTGTTTCCTGGCGCCGGCAGCTCGCTGAACCCGGGCGCATTCAGCGGCGCCGCAGCGGCGGCCAGTTCGGGGTCCCACAAGGACTACGAAAACGTGACTCTCATGCGGATGCGACAGGTAAGTTGCACAATTCGAATCGGTTCAGTCAGATCAAGGATTCTTTGGTTTAAGCTCAAACGTTTGAGATCGTTCGAGGGATAGTCAGACAGGCCAACGTGAGAAAGACAGGGTCTGTCATGCAGCAGTGCCCTCTGTTTGGACCGGTCCATCTGGCTAGCTTCGATATCCAAACGATCGAAGCCCATGGATGTGGTACGTGTTGAAGAAAACTACTGCTTTGCTGGAAATTCCTAGTGAAAAAACTTCACAGTGTGCAAAAAGGAACTGGCGGTCTAGCTGCAAAACGTAGCATTCAACGTGGCGACGAGTTCTGCCAGCAACACTGCACCGTTTGACCTTTTACAGAGAATAGTGTTTGCAGCAGTTACTTGTTTGAGGGTTCCATGAGTCGTTCTGAACACCCAGAATGGTGTATCTCATGCGGTTTCTCTTGGTGCAGGCTGCTGAGCGGGCCAGGCTCATCCGAGAAATGGAGGAACAGGATGCACGAGAGGCAGAAGCTGAGAAGGGCTCGTAGACTGGAGCTCACCCACATCCCCATTCGGTGTAGGAAGCCTGAGAGCCCGCGGTTCGTAGGGATTGTATACATGTATGAAGCATTCGAGCAATTATCTCATCAAAGCAAGTTGTATCAGTTCCATGTCGGGTCACCATGCACATTATATCTTTGATTGAGCGAGAATCACTTTCAAGTTTCCTGTTTTGAGAGCATGAAGGCCGGCCCGTGCTGTTCATGCATCGATTATCGATCGAGTAGATGCACCAATCATCCTATAGGAAGCCTGAGCTCAACGGTCGTGTTGCGCGCAATAAAGCTACATCACATGCTGGCGCCAGCATGCATGATGCACATGCTGGCGTCCGGGACGGTTGTGCACGATGTCCGGGACGGTTGTGATGCGCATGCCCATGCACGTGTCATGATATGATATTCTCCATAAAGAACGTACAAACATACATTGATGGGTCTCGATCTTCATTTTTGCCGTAAATTAGCAGATCATCCCGTCGCGATCATGATGGCATGGCCTGGCCAGGTAGTAATTATACCGCCCCGCAAACATATGCATGCTATAGGTAATCCATAAGTCACTCGTACTTCCGACGAGGCAGCTGGCTCACACTTTTCTTTGTATATCATGATCTGGCCAATGAGTTTACCAACGCACACACTGGCCAATTAACAAAAATGTACCTGATATGCAGATTTGACTATGCAAACATGGCTAGCATCTGACCTTGCAGGCATGTACACTCGTCGCGAGGTCAATTCACCTCTTCAATTGTCGAATGAGTGAATCCGCGGTTCACACGAAAATGCCTTACGCGGGGTAGACTTTGAAGAAAATCAGGAAGTTTCACTGTGGTGGTGCAAACCCAATCAGAGTGGCCACTGTTCCTTCATAACTTCAGAACCTTATACGGACTCTCACGAACAGGGCCCGGCCAACTCAAATGAATCCGCGGTATTCACCAAGGCGCAAAACACAGCGCCCATGGGTTTGAAAGGAAGCCACTGCTCAAAGAGCTTGGTGTCACGGTTCTTGTTTTGATGGTAAGAGAACTTTATTGAGATCGGATCCCTGCCCTTGGGGCTGCTTTGCATGCATGTCAAACTTGTGTGGCTATACCTTGTAACCAGTCAATGACCCGCCTCTTCCAATGATCTCGCCGACCACAAACCAAGCGTACAATTCCAAAGTGAAGAGCGCCGCGGTGCCGATCTCGTGCACGGAGAGATCTTGTCGATGCGCCCATTTACTTTTGACAGTGTCCACGTCCTTCCAGAAGAGCTTCTGCCGGTGGGGGATACTGCACCAAACAGAAATCAGAAGATAAGGCCACAGCCAAAAACGAAACAATGCAGAAAATACTCAGTAAAAACCTGAGACCTTCTGCTGCTTAACCGAATGTGGCGCCAAATAATTGTCGACCACTGAGTCATCAGTATTGACGACGACTTCTTCAGACAAAAAGCCCTTGCTCTACGGGTAGATTAACGACGGAATCGCCCCAAAATATGGAACTTTGTGAGCAATCAGGAAATAAGGAGCACGGAGCCCTCGGACAGTCCTGTCAGAAAGTTAGAAGTAAGCCTTGATCAGCAGGTGAGCTTCATAGCCGGAAACACGACCAAACAATATTCTGACCGACAGACCTCTAGCAAACACTGGGGCGCGCAATATTTTGACAAATGATTCTGCAAAGCTGTGTCTATCATAATCTTTTTTGAATTTTGAATGCACTTGACATTGTGCAATGGCATGAAAAGTGTTCATACACGGAGTGGCAATCTGTTGCAGTTGAATTAGTGCACAGGCTGTGCCATGAATCTGCCCACAACATGCATGATCTGATCAACATTGATCATCAAGGGGCCTTCCTTTACACTGCAGCCTGATACAACGGAAATACACCTTCACACCATCTAGACACTAATGCTGACAGGCCAGGGAGAGACCATTACCAAAAAAAGGCTCTTAAAAGCCATGAATTGATCAGGTACCCCGCACAAACACCTCAACCCATCCTTCAGCGCAATTTTACTTGGAAACGGGCTGCACGCTAGTCAGATCTCGAAGGATTTTGGCAGCTTACGTTGCTAGTTGGGTGTAGAAAGCCTTCTTTGTCAGCTCTGCTGCCTTTTCTGGCGTTGCAGGGTCCGCAACAAACTGCTTGTTTGATTCCATCATGCTCTTGTATGCAGAAGAACCATGCGTTGATGCGAGGTTCCCAGCCTTGCTGGCTGCATCCGTCAAGGGCTTCAATCGCTTCAAGGCGGCCTGAGCGAACGATGCCATGCTGTTTCCGGCTTCCGACTTCCAAAGAAACCGGACTCACGGCAAGGATACTGTTCTAAGCCCCACAGAATCTACAGGTGCGTGCCTGACTTGCGGCGCCGTATCAGAGACGGAGTTTCAACCTGATCAACCGATTCCTCAGATGCAGATATAGCTACTGCCCTTCCTTTCCCTCCCTTCTGATTCTTTGAAGAGCCCTGTGCGAGGCGATGATCGTGAAGCCTGATGCACCTTGATGAGCTTTCTCTTGCTACAGCTTGGAACAGATGGATGCATGCGCCAAGCTTGATCATTGATGGTTGATTAGCCCTGCTGCTGGTAGCGGGATCTGTGACTAGTGGTTGATCAAGTACTGACCATGCTGACCGAGCTTGTGGTTAGGCCTTAACTCAAGCAGAGAATGGCCTCGATCAAAGCCTTTGATCGAGCTGCTTCGACCCTAGCTCGATCGAGTCTTTTCCTGAGCTACCCG